CGGATCTTTGTTAATTAAAATCTCAGTAACTATTGCGAATCTAGCAAAATGGTATAGGACTTTTCACCTCAGTTTTATTCCTTCTATCTGCCTACGAGAGATGTTAAACCAATTCTGGGACACCCTGTATATATATATATATACCGTAATCACGTGACCGAAGTCAGTAACATTGCCGCGGTCGCGCGGCCGAGGTCAGTGACCCCCCCACCAAGGCCGCGCGGCCGAGGTCAGTGCCCCGCCAAGGCCGCGCGGCGGAGGTCAGTGACCCCGCCAAAGTCGGAAGTCAGTGACATTACTGTAGTATATATATAATACATATAATACAATATAAAGTATAATATTATAAATATATAATAAATTATATGTATAATATAATGTATTATTTAATATTATTTATAATATAAATTATAGTCACGTTATTTTCATGTGTTGTTTTTCTACTCTTTCCTGTCACGTGACTTTAGTTACGTTTTTAATTTTCTCTATTGTGCACAAGATCGTAGTTTTTAAACTAACATTACTTTTGAATTTTTATTATAGTTATTGTTGCCCATATTCGATCAGAAATTAATTGACAGTTCTGATACATACATAATTCCGATTGTTATTGCCCGCGAGCCACAAAAAGAAAAATCATACTCTCACATAAAATTCCAAAAAACAATATATTTTAACTTTGTATAAATAATATATTTTAAAGCTTGTTAATAAATAAAAGTGGTTTTAATATCAGAAAAACATTTGTAAACACTTAATATTTGAATAATAAACCAACAAAATTGTGCGTATGATGGCATTTTACATATTAAAATCCTTTACCATTTTTTATTAACATAATTCATATTTACATATTCAAATTCTATTCACTTATTCTACAGATTAATATGTTTCTTGATTTTTTAATTTCCTGAAGCACATACATTTTTCATGTGATAAGTGGATATTACGTTGTTCTGTTCGTATTATTATTATTATTATCATTATTATTACTATTATTACATAAATATAACATATTTGTTAATTTATGCTGTAGATGATACAGCTAATTTCTTCAAATGTTCCATAAACACTTGTAAACTCACATCATCTGTCAGAACCGGTGCACCATTTTCCTAGATAAAACAAACAAAATATTTTGTTTAATGTTACGCTTAATTTCAAAAATATAATAAGTATATTTTATGTAATTATAAATAATTAAAGTTATATGGAAATAACAATAGCTTTTAATATCTTTAAGTTAGAAGAAAAGTTATATTATCTTTTATAGAAGGAAAAGTTAATTTTCAACCTTTCAAAGTTTTGGAACAAATTTTTAAATAAAAAAAAATCTACTATGCAGTTTGATCAGATGTTTAAGAATATTTAAATTGCATTTTAATTTTTGCATTCTAAACTAATATGTGTTAAAAAAAAACAAGTAAAAAATCTTTTAAATTATAAAGTAACTTATTCTTATACATAGAGAGATAAATGTTTTTAATGATAACCCGCCACCAATAGACTTAAAAGTATATATTTATATATAGCTGTTAAGGAATGTTTATTATTTTAAATTGTTATAGTAAATGATATAAATTGCTTTAAAGAAACATATATTTATAAATTGTGTGTGTGTGTGTGTGTGTATGTAAATTATCTGAAGATATATAGTGTGTATATATATGTACGGAATAACTAATCACACTAATTGTGATTTTAAAGTGACCAACATTGTTGAATTTTGAGCAATAATATTTAATTTAAAGAATCTAATAACCAAACCAAAAGCGTAAGCAAAAAGAAGAAAAAAAGAGAAAATATAACACACCCCATTGGATATCGGCATCCCCTAGTTCACAGGATCAAGATGACATAAAAAAAACATATTAGTTACGGATGAAATATGACTTACATAATTTGTCCCTCTCATTTTGATTCTTTAATCATTATCTTTGAAATAGTAAAAACTTTAACAAAATACAAGTAAACTGTCTTTTTGTAATTTTGTAATCTTTGATATTTGACAATATTGTTCTATATTAATCTTATTAAATGTAACAAATAACAATTTTGACCACATACTTACCCCACCATAAGCATACATATTGTTATGAGTTTGACTTGGGTTCACTTTATTTAATAAAAATCTAGCTTGAGAACCGTCGTGTTCCGTATCGATATATCGAGGTGCTGGGAATCGACCAGCTAATATTTCAGCTGCATCATCGACAGGTGCTGCTAATAACTGTCGGAAGTTTTCGTATTCTGGCCGATCTTGATACTTCAACTGTCGCCACTGCGCAATTTTCTAAAAACACATGTTGGATTGTAAAATTAAATTAAAAAATTAGCAGCGAAATCAACATATCTCTCGGTTCATGCAGACATTTTTATATTCACACTGGGTGGAGTGCAATAATTCTTTACCAACATGAAGTTGAGCTTTAAGTAGAATTTCAAAGTGCAAGTTTCCGTTAAAGCATTATTAGATTTCTAATATACCTCTCCGTGATATATGAGAATTTGGAAGAATGTATCCATTAATAAAATTTTTTCAGGGTGAATAGACGAAGTATCTAACAATACAGGCTCTGGAGGACCGTCAAATCCATAACTGTATAAGATTGGTTGGACCATTATCAGGGAATTTGTTAAATCTTCGCGCATAAGCATGTGTCTAAAAAAAAAAGTATCAAACAATATTATACATATAAATCTCTTATAATCGAAAAAGTAGAGACAAAAGGTAAAAGCTCTTACCTATAAAAACTAGTTTCATCCGGTGAATTATTAAATACTTGTAAGAATTGTGATCTACGCAAGTGATACATAAACTGCGGATATAAAGAGAAGTTTTCTGCCAATCTAAAACTATTCGGATCATCTTTTCCATACTCGCCGAACTTCTGACACTGCAAAAATAAGATTTTATCGTAAATCAAAGAATGAATGTGAACAACAATAAGTGTACAATTTTATGTGTGTTATCGACAGAAATACTAACAAGTCTAATAAGCATACGGTCAACCCATCTCAAAACATCGGGACCATCATCATTTTCTGCCCTGAATACAGCTAAACGTGACATGAGAACAGCCGCTGCTTCCTGATCAAATCCAGCACTTATATGATGCAAAGATGACGCATCTGCCCAGCTACAAAGAAAGATATTTCACTATTAAAATAACTACGATGTACGTCTACATACACGCACATTTCTATATAAATATGTGACAAAACTAATTTACTTTCTCGCAATTGTGGTAACTCTGATTCTTTTTTGCCCACTGCTATGTTGATATTGAGTAATAAATTGAATGCAACCTCTTCCACCTTGTGGGATCGGTGCTGTATGTTGATTTACTACTTCGAAGAATAACGCTGTTGTTGTAGATGGCGTCAGTGAACAAAACTTCCACTGGCAAGTTCCACCTAAACCGACCTCTTGCTCTCCTACGCTAGATCCTTTCACTCCTAAGGATACGCACGGTCCAATTGCTCCAGAAACTTTAATCTCGCGCGACGTTTTTACTTCTAAGGTAGCGTTGAACGCCATTTTTAAGTCACCCTTAGCATCCTTGGCAAACACTCGCTGGAAGGTTTGTTTGAATAAAGAAGAATTGAACGAATCTCCCATTACCATGTGACCGCCAGTAGAATTGCAACACTGCCGCATTTCTAACAAACCAGTTTGATCAAGGGCACAAGAATAAATATCTATTATGTGACCATTGGTTGCAGCGCGTGACGCAAGTGCGTCATAATGTTTGGTTGCCTTTTTCATATGTTTAGCGTTGTCCTTTTGAATATCATGATGGGATCTAATTGGCTGCTTTAAGTCATCAGTTACAACTTGGCCGGGTCCTTGAGAACACGGTCCACCAACAAATAGCATAATTCTAGCGCCAGTATTCGCGTAACTAGCTTCCAAAAGACCTGTGGCAACTGCCAATGCCACACCTGTAGATCGTAATGGTCGTTTTCCTGGTCCAACAGGCCATGGATCACGTTGCAACTCTCCCAAAAGATCAGTCAAACTCATATCACATTTGTGAACTGGTTGCAGAAAGCGATTAGCAGGTGGCAATGGTTGTGCACCAGGTGCTCTTGGCTGATTTGGAGCTTGACTTGGTATTGGTCTTCCCACACCTGTCAAATATAATAAAAGACAAAATGAGATATAAATAGCAATAATTGAAAATTTCACTCTTACCTAACATATCTTGGACTTGTTTTGGTTGCAAATCTTTTGTGCCACGAAACACATAACTTTTACTGCAACCGTCACATCCTAATTCATGAACTTGAACCATTCTGCCAAATGTGATAAGACCAATAAGAGCATTAGGTGGAAGTAAAGATAATGACATTTGCAAGGAATCTTTAAGTGCTCCCAATTCCTCATCATCCAAACATGTATCCACAACAAGTAAAAATATCGGAGGTAAACACTGAGCACGCTAAACAGAACAATAACATTGTATATTTATATTTTTAATAATATATTCAACATATAGAACATCAATGATACACACATAGAACAGAATAAGCATGTAAGTTTTTTATTTACAATCACCTACCGTTATTGTATATTCAATTGTTGAGAACATAGGGATAAGTTCTGCTGGTTGATATTGTTCTGAAATTGCAGCATATTGTGGTGGAAACTAAAAAAAATACAAGTACATGTATAATTTGCGCTTACATTACATATTCTTAGAATTTCACATAAAAGTTGTTTTTCTTACAGGATTCCTTTGAAAGCAGAAATTGCAAACCCAGAGTTTTGCACGATAATCGACCTGACATAATGGATTTAGAATAGCTCTGCAAGTGGATCTCGTACACAAAACTGGATTATATTGAATTGGTGGTAAATCTGCTCGTTCCTTAATCGGTTGGTACAGAGTACCCAGGGGTACGACCAATCTGGTAGCATCGATACGCGAAGAAGGCCAAACGTTCCAGGTAAAACGCACACCGTCGCGATCTTCATTTTGTTGAATAAATTCCTCGTACGTTGTCATAATGCTATATATGTGACACAAATATAGTTTATTTTACAATATGTGAAACAGTACACTTTCTTTCTTCCAACTATGTGCCGGATATATATATATACGTGTATACATTTTTTCTTGTGTCTCACATAATTTCAAATTTTACAACACTGAACTGCTTATAAATCGGTAAATCAGAGAACAAGCACACAGTAGATTATTCACACAAAATTTGTATACCCACCCAAGAGATCGCTCTCACACAAGAAACCATTAACCAGCCTGGATAAGTATTATCAACGTTGATGCGATTATATCATCGGTTACTTTACGTTATAACATTACGAACTAAACAAAATTACACAAAATTATGTTAAAAAAAATTACAAAACTCTCTGTTACATGCCTCACTCGAGCCACGTCACTGCACGTCAATTGAAAGACACGCCGCATGCGCCCGTGCTATGCTCATTCAATGGCTGCGTTCCGAGTTAAGGTACCTTTTCATAAGCCTATGTCACACTACGGATTAGGATTGAGATTGGATTGCAATTTGGCCAATCAGAGCGAAGATCACTAAACTTGGGATTGGGTTTTCTTTTTTCTGATTGGTCAAATTTCAATCCAATCTCAATCCCAATCCGTAGTGTGACATAGGCTATAATACAGCAGCAAAACGTCACGTGACTCAAATTTTCTAGGACTGCTTCCGGTAGGTATATATTTGCTGCTCTTACCCTAATCCTCACTCGATGCCATTCTTTGCAAATTTCAAACGAATAAAAAAGCAGCAAAACCGGGAAAATTTTATTTTGTTGATACTTATGCAATAACTATATAATTTCATCAACACAAAGAATGTCATCGAACGAGGGTTAGGTAAGAGCAGCAAATATACCTAGCGGAAGTAGTCATAGAAAACTTGAGTCACGTGACGTTTTGCTGTCGCAGCGTGCTGCTGTATGAAAAGCACGAAGTAAGAATAAGGAGACTTAACTAGATAGTACATAGAGAAAAAAAGTGGTCAGTAAAAATGTTCTGTGTAGGAGGAGGTTTGCTAAATAGAATAACTTGCAACATTTTGTCGCCATTTTAAGTCTGTTCTTTTTAGTTAAAGTTNCTGTGCAATATTTATATAGTGCAATCACGTTTAGTATATTGGCTGGGTTCGAAGAGCGTGCTATCTGTGCTATTGTAATTCTATCTGTTTTACATCTAATGAGAGGTAACAATAGAAGAATACAATATACAAAAAACTATCAAAATGCATTACAATGTAATTAAAATGAATTAAAAACGAAAACT